AATCCGACCGGACTTTCGCTTCCCGAGGAGATTGTTTCGTTCAAACTCGTAACTCGAAACAGTAAGCCGAAACGATGATTGCAAAACGAACGTTCATTGTCTGTATATCACTTACGAAAATAACAACGTTATCTTCGTAGCTTCTAAGTGAGTAACCGTATATGCGACACGTGCTTCGAAACCGAAAGTAAACGATTTTCCCTTCTACTCTATCGGAAGTCTAATTATCTAGAAGAAATTTTTTCAAATGTGGCTCGCACGTTTCACTTGTGCGATATGGAATATCATTGACGATGATTAATGATATTATAATTATACTCGTTTTAACACTTCCGAGATAAATACATGAGCTTCTTTATCGTAACCGAGATAAAATTTACCCGTTTCGTTGAACGTTCGAATTGCGCACGAGTCTCAATTTGCAATTTGTAATTGAATCAAAAGTATTTAGAGAACTTTTAGCAAAAGATGAAAACATTAAACGAACCTGACAAGTTTCCGATGCTTTTTCCACCGTAAACAAAATTTCACATTTTTCGACCTCTATCCATCCCCCGAGGATACCTGCCTCGTATATATTTCGGTTCCAACCCCTCTCCCTCTCTCTCAGAGCTTGAACTCCTATATAAGATCCTTATAGATCGTTCTCGCCCAAGGTAACGTCGTGCCGAGAAAAAGAGTAACAACCACAAGCACTTGCGTGCGATTCAAGGGGACAGGGGGGTAAGGGAGGCAAAAGAATAAAAGATAACATTACGTGTGATCGTCGTCGGCCACCATACGTAATTACACGAAGAGCACCGCGAGTAGGTGATACGAGCGGTGGCATTCGCATTTTTGGACGCAACGATATCGACCACGCGGGACCGCTAATTAAACCCAAAAGCCTCGTCCGCTAATTAAATCCAAACGATTAAGGCTGTTACCCCCCTTTTCCGCTGTTGTCCGTCGCTGCGTTGCTGTTTTTGTCGATAATTATTACCTACCGCGGGACATCACGACCGCTGTTCGAATCTTGGGCGGTCAAAACGCGAGGCAATCATTGCGCCTGCGGCATTGCCGCTCAAACTCGATACCGGAGCACAAAATTCGTTATTCTCCCGGAAGGAAGGAGGAGAAGGTGAAACCGTGAGAAAGGGGGAGGAGAGAAGGAAAAGAGGGGTGAAAGAGAGGATGGAAAGAGGCAGCGCAAAAGATTAGTTTGGTTAGTCCATACGTAGCGCTAGTTCGAAATTTCTCACACGCGGAGTGTCCGTCAGAAAATTATAATTCATTCTCAGGAAGACGAATTTCCGAAAGTTTCTTATGAGTTAATTATGAGTGTCGCGATCGTTGCGAGTGTAGTTTTGATTAATGCCTCATGAAGAAGACTTCGAAATTTTTATATATATCATTAGGTTATTCAATAAGTTCGTAAGAAGTTTTACGAAAAAGTCCAAGCTGATAACTCAATTAATCAGGCATAATTTTATCCTTCTTGTTTCTTTTTTTAATGATTTGTCATTGATCAATATATTATTGAACAAAATTATGCCTAACTAAAAAAACATCGGCCTCGAACCATCGCAGAAGTTCCTATGTTCGCTGTCTGGCTCGCTGTTCGTCGTCTGAAGCGAACTAGAGGCCGGGACTGTTCAGCTATGAACGCAGGGTTCCACAAGCGAAAGAAGACACCGCCGTTTTGAGTTTCGCGGGATCGTTCCCTTTTATTTCCTCCTCTTAGTAGATGCTCGTCGAAATGCTGGGAGGACGATCCTGGCTGATCGGCGATCACCGAACCCGCGATCCAATTTTTATTACAAAAAAAAATACAAAATAAACTTTGAAAATGCGGACGATCCTCCACCACGCACGTGGCACGTTCGGTTGTCGATTAAGCGGTTTGAGGCCGCAACCGTGGTTTCAGAAATCGGAGGTTCGACCTGAGCGGTCGAACAGCTGAGTGAACGACGGCGCGGAGCGAAAGTAATCTCTAATTGTAACCGGTCGTGTGCGAATTTTTGATCTGATCTGAGGGGTGAGGAGCAGAATCTAGCTCATCACCTCGGTCTTACAATGATTATATGTTTTTCGTTGTTGCTTGGCTCGAAGACGGGATGTTAGCAGCTTGTTTGAAACGTGATTAGGCCGTTAGAGATCATATACGGACAAACAGTAACGATAACAACGGTGTTTGTCTCGTTGCCGAACAAAGTCCGATCATGCGGAAGTCACGCACAATGTGTCGTCGTTTCGATGGTCCTCGAGTCTACCGAAACAATAAGCCGCGATGAGACGACGAATCGCGAACACCCTACATATAACTGTCTATACAGAGTGTGCCAAAAGTTCCGGAACAATAAAATATTTCAGAAATGAAACATAAAAAAAAAATGGTTTCATACAAAAGTTGTAGAATTTCAAGTGACGCATTACATAGCAATATTAATATGATCTTGAATAGTGCAATCAAGATCATTTAAGGTTACTTTGAAATGTTTAAATGGAAAGCTTCATTTTTAATTATATCATCTCTTACGAGGGCGGTCCGATAAGTACTTAGCCTCACCGCCCGATCGCGTCACTATCGCAAGAGAAATTTACTATCGTGTAGTATATTCTCGCAGACGGCTACTGTCGAAATTTCAGCCGAATCGGACTCGTAGTTTTGTTTTGACCGCGTGTGGAAGCGGGCGTGTCCGCGGATTTTAGAAAAATGGAGAAAGAGCAATATCGGTCGGTGATTCGATTCTTGTTTTTGGAAGGGAAATCGCGCAGCGAAATCAAAGAGCGCTTGGATGCTGTGTACGGTGACTCTTCTCCTTCGATGGCGACTGTCAAAAATTGGTTTAACGAGTTTCAACGTGGTCGCACGTCGGTTTTTGATGAGCCACGCCCAGGTGCCCCGAAAACGGCTACCACGGAGGATAACATGACAAAAATCCACGATCTCGTATTGGCAGACCGCCGATTGAAGGTGCGCGAGATAGCTGAGACAGTAGGCATCTCAAAAGACCGCGTGAGTCATATCCTGCATGAAATTTTGGGCATGAGAAAGCTGTCGGCGCGATGGGTGCCGCGTTTGCTCACTCCGGACAACAAGCGCAACCGTGAGACCACTTCAGAGCAGTGTTTGACGCTGTTTAAGCGCAATCCGAAGGAGTTTCTGCGTCGTTTCGTGACCGTCGACGAAACATGGATCCACTGGTACACACCAGAGACTAAGGAACAGTCGAAACAGTGGACTTCACCCGGCGAACGTGCTCCGAAGAAGGCGAAGACTATCCTATCGGCCGGAAAGGTGATGGCCACCGTTTTCTGGGATTCACAAGGTGTGATCTACATCGACTACCTGGAGAAGAGCAAAACGGTCACAGGGCTGTACTATGCTGAATGATTGGGCCGATTCAACGCCGAATTGTAGAAAAAACGGCCCCATTTGGCGAAGAAAAAAGTGCTCTTTCACCATGACAACGCACCGGGCTCACACCTCCGCCCTCGCCACGGTCAAATTGGTCGAATTGGGCTACAAACTGCTGCCCCATCCACCGTATTCTCCAGATTTGGCCCCGTGCGACTTCTTTTTGTTTCCAAACTTGAAAAAGTCACTCGCCGGGCAGAAATTTGAGTCGAATGTGGAGGTCATCGCCGCCACGGAGGCCTACTTTGCAGACCTCGAAAAAACGTACTTTTCAGACAGGTTAAAGAAGTTGGAGCATCGCTGGATCAAGTGTATCGAGCTAAAAGGAGACTATGTTGAGAAATAAATCGCCACTTTTCCAAAATTTTCGTTTTTCTTTTGTAGGCTAAGTACTTATCGGACCACCCTCGTATATCATCTTATTTTACTAATTAATTTGGACAACTTTCATTTGAAACATTTTTTTATTTACCTAATATTGTTTGAGATATTTAAGGAAAATTTGGTAATTTTAATATTTTATATCAATGCAATATATTAATGTTATATTAGAACATTTTCCTTTTATTTCTTTTACCACCATTAAACGAGTTATATTGTTGCAAAAAATATGATCTTAATCAAAATTCGAATTTGGGGTCTCCGATCTGTGCCAAATACTTTAAACTTTCACCATTCATTAATTATGCACAAGTTCATTTTACTTATTGTACAATAATGGCGAACAGTTAGTTTCACAAATGCCAGACATAGTTAGTATATTTGTGGTTCTGAATTTTCAGAAAAAAAGTGCTTCATGATTAAAAAAGAAACATACAAAGAAAAATGGTTCTCTTTATCTTCTTTTTTTTCCTTTCTGCTTTCAATCCGTGCAAGTTGATTTATGAACTAGGACGATAGAACAGGCGCATGCGTACGAACCGCAAATCCCTACTTTTCACAAAACCTGTGTCATAAGCTTTTCCCACTACTACAGAGATTCTTTCTCACTTCAAAATTAACCGACGAGACAGCAGGTCAGACCACACATTATTTCTTCGACGGAATTTTACTGCTTCGCACGAGCTGTGTGTGCTGGAAGAAAGAAGAGTGCGTGCCAACGCGCGAGTAAAAACGCTCAGTGGCGAACAGAGGATCACAGACAACGCACTGATAGTTGAAATTGGAGGAAAATTTCGAGCTAATAATCTCAGTAAATAATAATACAAAATTGTTTCATGCACGTGATTATTATTCTTGGAAAGATTATCTGGCATAAAAGACAGAAGCTGCATATTCTGATAACAAAAACAAAATGAGAGAAACATAAAATTTGAGCATACAATCGTTTTTTTTTCTTTGTTTCATTGAAATTGTGTTGAAAGTCGATAGACAGAAGAGACGAGATTACGCATACGCGCACGTGCATGTGCTTGTGTGTGTGTGTGTGTGTGTGTATATGTGTAAGTGTGAGTGTGTTATACGTGCGCATGCATGTTGCTTTAATTTTCAGTGAAATTAAAACGAAATTCAATAAAGATTCGATAAATAAAATAAAAATTCAATTCAAAAGGATCTCAAATCCAGAATTGAAGACTAAATGCATGGAATATCTGAATGTATTCAGCGAGAAAGTCATAAGGACACTTGTGGAACAATTTTCTCCAAAATCGCAAAGAAACCTCGTTATCTGCATGGAAACAAATTTGCATTGTTGCTTTATCGACTATCTTCGTGGTCCAGTTACCGAGTTTACTAATTTCGTAAATAAATTGTCGCATTATAAATCGCTCTCCGACCTTTAAGGACTGACTCAGTAGGCTTTTATCACTTTTTTATCTTGTATGTGTGTGCTTGTATGTGTGTTGTATGTGTGTTTATACAGGGTGTCTGAGAAATTTTGGACCAACCAATTTGTACAGGTAAAACAGGTGAAATTGAACAATAAAGTCATATACAATTTTCTAAGAATCGTAATAGTTATTGAATTATTAATTAAGTTATTAATTAGTATATCTAATAGTTATTAATTTGTCAAGTCCGATTTATCGTTTCCCGTGCGCTCATTGGCTCAGACGTTTTAATTAATGACTCAATAACTATCACGATTCGTGGAAAATTTTATATGACTTTATTTCTGTTCAATTTCACCTGCTCTACAAGTTGGTAAAAAATTTCTCAGATACCCTATAGTTTTCACTAATGTAGTATCACTTCGATATGCTATCTATTATTTTATCTATTTTATTTACGTATTTATTCAACGGGAAAGTACTTTTTTTTATACATAAAAGGAAGTAAGTTGCAAAGATGTCTGGATGTGGATAAATATGTGAAACATATGAGAAATATCAATGTATAAAGTTAGATCTGAACAGAGGAAACACAATTCTAAATTAAGTAAACTCTTGTCAATAGACATCGATGTCGATTTATATTGTAGATATACATGGCAAAAATTATAAATATAAATAAAATGAAAAAATTGCGGCACATACTAATATTAATAAGATAACATTAATAAGACTAAATAAATTAAGACTAAATATTCAATGTTCGAGTATGAACTGTTTATACATGTCATAGGGCAGACATGATACAATATTTATCGAGCAGTCAGACTTTGCAAGTATGTACGAAGAAGGATTGATAAAAGATTTCAGCTTGTAAGAAAGATATCTTACTCCTTAGGATGTCTTAGCTATCAGCTGATAGCGAGGGGGAGAGAGGGACGCGTTAGATTGCTATGAGATCCTACGAAGCAAGATATTCTTCTTACTTTTCTTGGGACACTATATATATTTTTATACAATATGTACGAAATAAGTAAATAAAACGTAGATAAACAGTAGATAATAACAATAAATCGGGATAAATAAGAAAAAAATTGGTATTTTGCTGTGGGTTATACTCATGAAACCACAAACGGCAAAATATCGAGAAAGAATACTTCTAATTAACTCTACGCTATCCACAGGTATTACAGCATAAAATTGGGCAAAATTGGGCAAAATTGAATAATCCAACTTATCTTACTCATTCGCCTATGACGCAGTCAACAAATTATTATACAAATCCCTCGACCACTTCTCTGATGCACTTCGCGACACCGTGCAACAGTTTGTACCACCAACAAAGCCAATGCAACGTACCGGGAGTTTTCGAGTGTGTGCAAATGAAAACTCCAATTACGCCAGCGAACAATATGTGTCACGTATCGGAAGTCGGCTGTCAAACACCTTTGGACAACAGCAATTATTACACCAGTCATCAGGAAAACTATTCGGGAAACTGTAATGTCGGATTGAGTGAGCCGTTCAATGGGGCGTTAACACCGACGCCGACGTATAACGCATCGCAGAGCTACGCGAATCATACGGTTTCTCAAACCAATTCAAATATGTTTCGAGCGCACTTGCCGAGAATGGCCAACTCACCGACATCGTCCTTCCTATTCGTTTCGTCAAACTGTGAGAGGGACGAAATACGAAACACGACGTTGCCCTGTTACGAGCCAACATGTTCGATGTATGTTCCATCGGTGGATACGGATGTCTTCAATGTGAATTGGAATAAGTTGAACAGAAGAAAGGAGAAATGCCTATGTATCAATTGCGTTTCTATGTCTCAATGCGACGCAGATGGCAAACGGTTACATGTGTGTCACGTAGAGAATTGCGGGAAAGTGTACTACAAGATGTCGCACCTTAATGCACACCTGAGGGGACACAACGGCGACCGACCGTTCGTATGCATGTGGCAGCAATGCGGCAAGAGCTTCACCCGCAGTGACGAGTTGCAACGTCATTGGCGCACGCACACCGGCGAGAAGAAGTACAAGTGTGACAAGTGCGAGAAACGGTTCATGAGGAGCGACCATTGTAAGAAGCACGAGAAGACTCACGACAATAAGAAGAGTAAGTAAGACCAAATAACGAACAAGGAGCAGAAAACGCCTATGTGTGGAGTAGCTATGCCATCGACATATATAAACGAATATAACCCTACTGGTACCGATTGCGGAAGAGTATCGGTGCAGTCTGAAAAGGAAATGAGGCATCAGTTCCCCCAGCTCCTCCACTCCGGTCCACTGGTAGAAGATTTTAGTCAGTAAGAGTCCGGCATAGTCTCCTCAAAGCAGCGAGGGTATCCATGAGAATTTCCCCCTCGTTAACAAAAGAAGATTACAGAGAATGATTAGTCATGTTTCCTTCATTTTTTCTCTGTTTCTTTTGTTAAAAGTTATAAAAATATTATTTCATTTATTTCTGTCAGAGGATCATAGGATTAAGGTGACGAATGTATTAACATTTAAAAAAATAATTTTCAAAAAGTTTAAAAAAATAATTTTGCTATTTATTATAGAACTTTGTTCTTGAAAGTGAAGAGCAATCTCGCTCTTCCTTCGACCAATCATATTAATTGGCCAGCTAGTCAATTAAAAATAGATGTATATTCATGCGCGAAACTAAACACATTTGTTCTGTCGAAATTAGTCGAGATTAGTAGGCTGTATGATCACAATTGTAATTATTTGCTAACTTGCGCGGTTATCCATTATGGCAGCAGCCCAAGTGACAATAAATGAAATATTCGACATATTACATCTTCTTCCTTATATCTCTTTCTTCCTTGTACTTCGGAAATCACTGATACTTCGATTCTTTGTTAAGGAATATTTTTGTCAAAAAACGATAAAGTAAATGAGTCGACTTCTTGCAAAACATGGGAGACAAAAATCAAAAATCAAAAATATTTTTTATTAAAAAAAATTTGAAGTATCACACTACTAGCGACTCGCGACTGCGGCTGCGGCTGCGATTGCGATTGCGACTCTTCCTCGATCAATCAGAAAGCAGCGACTCGCGGCTGCGACTCGCGACTATCGTTTATCGAAATATATAAAAAATATATATTGTGATACATATAAAAGTAAAAATTACATTTCATATTATTATATGGTACTATACCAAAGGTAGAAATATATGATTTATGTAAAAACTACATACCGGAAGTTTTTTTCCATAAATGCGTTTTTTCTGAGTAGATTGTTTTGTGAATCTCACAGAAAGAACTACTTTGGACGATCCTTCAGTAGAACATTATAAGGCTTTCATACTACAGAGGCGAGAAAAAGGGGCGTATACCGTAAAAATTCACATAATAACAAATCGGCATCCCCCTTCCCTCCCACTCCCTTATACTTACTCTAGATGCGCCCCTAGCGATTATTACGGCATATCGGGTTCATTCCCGACATCTTCCTGTCACTCGATACGCTCCGCCCGAGGGAAGGATACGTTGGACGGGATAAGTATTCTAGAAACATGTTTCTCCTCTCCCCAGTCCGAAGACGTGTCGTCTGGCAGGTGTTTTAACTCTCGCAACGTTCTCTCGCTCGGGGTGTTCAAGATCGCTGCGAGATCGCTCGAGGAACGATTAAATATCTGTTTTCTCCCATAGGACTCACAGATCTGCACAACCATATGCTTGTGATCATAGGAGAAACCACAAATCACGAAACATTCGTTTCGTTTATGTATTTTTTGTGAGGGGATCAATGGAGAAGGAATATAGCAAAATGTTCTCTTTTGGAGCGTAAAATAAGTATATAGGCCAACATATTATTAGGATATTTTAATCCTACATATGTTAATATTTTAAATGGTTAATATTTTTAATTGGTCTGGTATATCTGCGTTCTGAGGGACATTTCGCGATTTTTCTCGGACTCAGTCCTGCATGGACGAGGATATAATTATAACTGAACCTTGTATCTTCTTTTATCATTTCCGCAGGTTTCATGAAATGGATGAATTTATATTTGCAATGCGAAAGCAACCAGCTCATAAGCAAGCTCGTTGGACCAAGGTGGCAAAATGGATACATACAGCACTGTCACGTAAAACCTTGCTGCCTTCATCTGGCTGCCAACAGATGGAAGCACGGTGAATGGAACAGGTCGCCGGAGCGTTATTAAGGGGGCGGCGCGCTGTGCAGCCCCCTGGCCCTCCGCCTCGGCGGTGGATTCATGGCTGGCACGAAGAGGAAGAGGTACACGCAGGCGGACGCAGAGACAGAGGTAGAGATAGTGACGGTGGCGGTGGCGGTGGCAGTAGCGGAGGCAGAGACAGAGAAAAAGAGAGACATCGCAGGCAGGATGAACCCAGAGGAGGAGAAGGAGGAGGAGGAGGAGGAGGGGGCGGCGACGGGCGAGCGGGTGAAAAGGGGCGCGAAGGGTAGCGGCAGAGTCGCGACGACGGTAACGGCAACGGCGACGGCGGCGACGAAGCGGGGTAGAGAGACTACGAAAATGGAGTAAAGGGAAAAAAAAAGCCCGGTTGCCGGGCAAATTATAGGGAAAAACGAGGTGGGACGCAGCGTTGCGCCGCACGGAGAGGAGGCAGTCGCGGTACTCACTTCGTGGAGGAGGAGGACAAGCGGGAAGGGGGAGAGAGAGGGAGGAGGAAGAAGAGGAGGAGGAAGAGGAGGAGGAGGAGGAGGAGGAGGAGGAAGAGGAGGAGGAGGATGACGACGACAACGACGTGCACGACGTCGATGACGACGAAGACGACGACGAGGACGCGGAGTACGAGGTGGTAGAGAATGGCGGGGCCGAGAGGGGAAGAGATGGAGGAGGAGGGGTGGCGCCACGGCAATTCCGGACTGGCGTTCAACGTTCCCTGCGGAGTACCGAGGATACCCGCGAGAAGCCAACGCGCGAGGAGAGAGACTCTCGAAGAAGGCCCTGGCCAGTGGAAACTCTTCTCGCCGGTTGTCTTCCGCGCGCGCGGTAATTGACGAGAAAGTGACGAAGAGAGAGAGAGAGAGAGAGAGAGAGAGAGAGAGAAAGAGAGAGAGAGGGAGAGGGAGGGGGGAGCGCAAAGGAGCGAGAGAAAGAGCACGAACGAATGCAAGGTAGAGAGAAAGAGAGAGGCCGACGACGAGCGGATAGCGCGCGGAGGGCGAGCGCATGACGGGAGGGAAGACGGACGGAGAGCGAGAAAGAGAGAGAGACAGAAGGAGGGGGTAGACACACAAGTACAGTACGCACCTCTCTCTTACGTGTTACGTGCGGTCAGTGCGAGAGGCTGCGACGTGCCGCGAGCATGCGTCTGCGACGAACGGCCCTTAAGGCGAACGAGCAGCACGCCGACTCGCCGACGTCGCGATCGTCGCCTTCAACGTCACCGTCGCCGTCGTCGACGTCGTCGCCCTGCGATCACGCGTGTAGTAGTAGCCGCGAATGACCTTACCACCCACCAGGATATATCCATCAGGTAGCCACCTGCCGCGCCAAAGGAACCACGCTGGCACCACGAATGCACCATCATCGTCGTTGTCATCGTCGTCAACGTCGTCGTCAGCGTCATCATTGTCGTCGTCGTCGTCATCATCATCATCGCGATTTCAATTGACCAATCACGAGCAGCGGACAAGCGGACCTCGGGTACCGTGTCGCCAGTCGCTTGTCGTCCGGTGGTGTCCGTGAAAATTGATTGATTGACGTTCCGCGCCTCCTCTCTCACGGTTGCGCGCCTCTCCTCCTCGTCGCCACACGGTCGCGATTCTCTCTCTCTCTCTCTCTCTCTCTCTCTCTCTCTCTCTCTCTCTCTCTCTCTCTCTCTCTCTCTCTCTCTCTCTCTCTCTCTTGCTCTCTCTCTCTCACTCCCTCCCTCTCTCTCTCTCTCTCTCTCTCTCTCTCTCTCTTTCTCCCTATCAGTCTGTCGCGCGCGCGGGCTACTCGCTCCACCGCTGGAGCGGCCGTCAGTCAGTGGATATGAGAAGCCGAGAAGCCACGGCCGACCGCGCGGGGTGCTGCCGCACGTCGACGCTGCTATCCGCCGTGCCCCGACGAGAGCGCGTCGCGAGTACTGTGCGTATTACGTTTTACGAGTGCCATTCAGCCGTTCAGTGGCCAGCTAGCTCGTCGTCGCGTTCAATGTAACCGAATGCCGCTGTTGCTACTACTACTACTACTACTACTACTACTGCTGCTGCCCGACAAGAGTGGCCAGCGCGACCCGCGCGCCCTGAGCGCGACACGTTGACAGGTTGAAGCAGCACTCGCCGCTCATCATCGAGACCGACCTCGCCGAGAGAGCGATCCGAGGAACCGAGTCGGCCCGGGATTCAGGCAGCTTGAGAGAGCGCGTCTCGCCTCCCGGACGGGCAGTAATCGCGCTTCCGAATCGCGACGGGACGGAACTCGAGCAGCCGACGACGCGCGCGCTCGTCGCGACCGTCGAGATGGAGTCGTGAGCGCTTCAAGGCGCCGCGTCGTCGACCTTACGAACACGGCAGAGGCGCCACGAGATTCTCGTCTGGTCGGCCGGCCGGCGAATGTGTGACGCGCGTGCACCCGCTCGTCTGTCTCCGCGCGCGTTTTCAGCAGCGAGCGAGTGAGCGAGCGAACAGCTCCGACCTCGAGCCGCGACTCCAACTCCTCCGTGGGACCGACTCGGGAGTGGTCAGCTCGGCCGCACCGCAGCGATCAGGCGATTCGGCAAGCTGGACGCGGAGGTCAGCGGAGGTGGTGGCGGCGGCAGCGGTGGCCGCAGGGGTGTCAGTCCTCCGACACCCCTCAGCAGTATAAACGTGAGTCTCATTATCCACGCTGTGGAATCCCGTCGCGACGTAAGCCGGTCGCGAAAACACGACGTTCGTTTGTCGCAGGACTCGCAGGACTATCTTGCGCGGTAGACTTCCCCCCCCCACTCCAGCCCACCCCTAACGCCCGGGTCGCCGCTACAGGGGGTTTCATTCGCGAGAGTATCATCGACGTCCCGATGCGGAAGGCGAATCCTCGTGTCGCGCGAATCCGACAACTATCCGATGACTGTCCGCTCTCGCGAGGACTTCTCGTGGTCATTTGGCGGCGCCATCTTGAGCTAACGAAGAGCCGCCGACGTGATCGCGCTCGGGAAAGCACGATTTGACGGAAGATTTTAAGGAGGCCGTCTTTTACGGTCGACTTCATCTCCCGCGGGTTCCGCGCGATCGCACTCAATCGACCGCCTACTCGAGCCTGGAAACTTGGACTTCGCGAGGACCTTGCGTCGCGCTAGAGGATCGCGACCTTGCATTCTCTCGCTCCGATCTGACCAGAACTTGGCGAACCGAACGAACGAGCGAGAGCGAGTTCCGGTACCGAGATGAGCTTCACGCCGGCTTGAAAATAAATCTTCCCGAGGCAGAGCCTTCATTGTTTTCTCACTTCTGTGGGAATGCCAGCGCCGATTTTAATCCCGTTAATACGACTTCCGAAGATTGTCTTTACAGCCGCCGCCATGAGAATCCGCCGAGGACGACTGCTGATTGCGAATCGATACTCTCTCTCTCTCTCTCTCTCTCTCTCTCTCTCTCTCTCTCTCTCTCTCTCTCTCTCTCCCTCCCTCCCCTCCGTTCCTCTCTTTCCTCCTCGCCGTTTCATGTCTTCCCTCCTTCGCCTATCACGCTCCGATTACATAATTATATTCCAAAGGATTTTCGAAAGAATATATTTATCGCACACTTCGATAAGAATGTGCGTAATCGGCGGCGCCCTGTTACGCACGCACGCACGCAAGGAAGCGCCTTCGCGATGTATCCT